TTGTTTGTTTTTGTTTGTTTTGGGTTTTTTTGTTTTGTTTTGAGGAAGAAGGGGAAGGTGCCAGTAGATATATTTGACAAAAGCAAAACCTTTTGGACTCTTCACTTCGAATTGATAGTTGTAGTTACGCTTGTAATCTGTCTCTCTGCTGATTCATCTCACGTTAAGGGAGAGACTTTTAAGTCCCTTTTCACTCCTTTCCCTGTCCCCTCTGCTCATTTTTCTCTGCACAACAGCAGGGAGGTTAGCAACCCTCGCCTGAATATAGAATAGCCTGGCAGCCAGGGACCTGGACATCGCGGGTCTTCCCTCTTGCTCTGTGTGACAGTTGCAAACACACTCATGGCTGTTCAGATTCAAGGAGTATCTTGTATTTCTGTCTGTGTTAGTGGCAGTGAAATATTTTCTTCACAGTGTCATCCCCTCAGTTGATTTTTTTTCCCCTAGTTGTTTGTTCATGTGTTTGGCTCTCTTTTAAGTTTAACCCTATTTGAAGGGTCTAACTTCAGGCCCTTTAACACTTTTACCAGAATATTAAGCATCCCTTGAACTATTCAATAATTCCTAAAATTGCAGATATTGTGAGCAGATGGCATAGAAAGAATTGCCTGACTGTCAGAAAGGGGAACAGAGAGAGAAGGAGAAGGGAGAGAGAAAAAAATAACCAAAACAGAAAAACCCCAAGAAACTAGCCAGACATCAAATGACAGATTGAAGCATTTTCCTGTTGTAAATGCTGGCATTACATGTTACAGTAATTATATGCTCTGGGCTACTGTTAGTATTTGTCTGCTGGATAGTAACCTGAACTTATGAAGTGAATAGAGTTGTTTTTTGGGTAATAGTAATATTTATAGCTAAGATTATTCACAGCAGATGTCCTATGCGTATAAGCATTACTAAATATGCTTTTAACTTTCTGGCCTGCAGTGTTAAAGCCTATGTACATTGTGAAGAGAGAATTTTTCTTTTTAAAATGAGGTTTACTAAGTAAAGTTCAGAACTAAAATCTAGAGCAAATAAAGGCCATCACAAGTGTTATAAAGAGAAATGAGGTTGTATTTTAACAGTGTGTAGAAGCAAAGAAAATGCTTACTTACTATCAAAATTGCGTTATAGTTATTAAATGCATATTTTGACTTGTCAGAATATGATATTTTTGTGGTTTATTACCTCTAAGTCTTCTGTTGCTTTTATCTTAAAATCTGCCAACTAGGATTTAAATATCTGAACATCAACCTGTGTAAATATACAAATTATGTTAAATATAATGTATCTGTACCATAGGAAAAATTGTTCTCTAGGAATGAACAGTTTTTGTATTTTAATTTTAGGGTGAAAACTCTGCATTATTTTGGTTACTTCAATGAGCAGGCTAAGTGTTGTGTATTTATATAAATTTATATATGAAAATAATATTTTCTATGATAAAATCCAAAATGTAGTTTAAGCTGATTAAGGGAAACCTTAGTCCCATATCCATCACTTGGTATTGCTTGCTATTTCTTTTGGTGCATAAACATTTTGAAGGAATGCCATACTTCCAGAATTTTTGTTCAGTATAGCTTTACAAATTAGATAAAAAAGACCTAATTCCTCCTGAAGTTAGTTGCATGTGTCAATAATGCTTGAAGAGATTATTTCTTCCACTCCGCTGTGTGTACTATTTGATAGAATTAGATCTTGGTAGGGGTTTTTCAGAATAGGAGTAAATTTATTTTCTTACATGCAGCTGTAACTACAACACTTACAGCCTTTTTTAAAAAGCATCCTTTCAACATAACCCTGTTGGCATTGATGTTACTTTACTTTTACTTTGCTGTCTCTTTCCATAAATATATACAGGGAGATGAACTTTGTTTAATCCATGGAACAGCAAGGTTGAATCTGAGCCTGAAATATCATTATTCTCCCTTGAGTGAGTCTTAAAACATATAACAGTTAAGGTGAATAGTTTTGTTCTTAATTGTGATAGTGTCTGCACATAGGTAAGAGGAAAAGCAAGTCAAAGTTCACAGCAATTTAAAACTCTTTGTGTATGAAAGAACAAATTCTTTGATTCAGACAGATCTGATCAGAAAACCACCCAGATATATGGAGATTGTGTGGGTGTAAGCAAGTAATGTTTGGGCCTATGTGCTTTGAAGACGGTTCTTTTATTAAAATCTTTAGAGGAGGATATATAAAGTAGGTATATAAGGTACAGATTGGGAATTAAAGGAAAGACCTGGGTTTCAGTTTGGTTTTTGGTTTATGTTTTGTTTTGCTTTTTTTGCTTGTTTGTTTGTTTGTTTTTTAAAAAAATCAATCAGTGCCACCACATATGCTAATTCAGTAAGGGTTTTTCATGGACATCTGCCCTTCATTAGAACAGTTTGAGAAGTCATGACAGCTGTAACAGTGGGCTTGTAATTCCTCATCTGTCGGCATATTGTTGTACTATTTAAAATGAAGGAAGAAATTAAAATAGCTAACTAGTATCAGAAGTGTGCAAATAAAGTGTTAACTTGACTTCTGAAATATACTGAGATTTCTTGCTTCTTGTGTTCTCTGGCAGCTTTGTTGCTTCATATTGCCTGAATGAAATTTGTCAGGAAAAAGCTTCCTTATGTCCTCTACCAGTGTGCTTACCGCTCTAGAAGTGTACCATTTCAGTAAATATAAACAGTCCTGTGTTAGTGCTTTTTGGTTCTGTGACTGTTTCCATCGAGCATGCCAAGATGTAGATTTTGTAATGTGGAAACCTACAGTAAAGACTTGGAATGAGCCCACAGATTTGTTTCATATGGGATAGCAGAGAGTGTTAATACAGTAATAACTCTCAGTTTTTACCAAACTATGCTATATTTGAACCGGTGGCATAGTGATGAGATAGCTAGTGCATGGTGTTGCTGAGTGGTTGAAAAATATAATTCACAGTGAATGGTATTACACTTGCTGGATTATGTTTCCCACTTTGATAACTTCTGCTTTTCTCATATATATATAGGTGGACTTGTGTATATATATATATATATATATATATATATATATATATATAGGTGGGCTTAAAAGGTGGACTTTTTTGGAGGTGGTAGTTGTTGTTTGGAGTTTGTGTTTTTTTTGGCATAGGGTTTTAAATGACCAGCTCCTGAATTATTGTCAAGATGCTTCTGGCAAAACTCTTCAGTGCTAAGATTACTGAAGTACTGTAACACAAGTGTTACATACTAAGACAAAGACATTATGTGTTCTTTCCTTAAGGCATGTAAGAAATACTGCTGGGCAGTTTCTTCTCAAAAAGCTAACCTCTGTTGTTCGTTTTTGTTCAGTGCAGCATCTGCCATGTCTACAGAGGGGCAGAGAGTGGATGATAGTCCAAGCACTAGTGGAGGCAGCTCTGATGGAGATCAGCGTGAAGGTGTTCAGCAGGAACAAGAAAGGGAGCAAGTTCAGCCCAAGAAAAAAGAGGGCAAAATATCAAGCAAAACAGCTGCTAAACTGTCAACTAGTGCTAAAAGGTACAGTGTTCTTTTTGGGTTTTATTTTAATTTCTCTTTTTTTAGCTGAGCATCAGATGTATGTATTGACTCAGTATATTAATTTTCTGATGGTTTTATTATAACACTGCTGTATTAGTGTAATATTCTCTTGAGACTGGTCACAATAATGAGACCTGTATACTTTTTCCTTTCTTTGACAGATTGGCTCTTTCACATGGTTTTAATAGTTGCTTGCATGATAAAAGCTGACAATTTTTTATTGCTAGTAAAACTCAGACAGTTTTGTAGCCTTATAAAATATATCTCTGTATGTGTATGTATGACTGATGTTGAAACTTGTCAGTGTAACTTACAGTTAATTAACCATAAACATATCAGACAGTTCAGTAACTCAGCACATTAGGACTACTGTAATACCTATTGTTGTGAAGTACTGCGTTTTCTTTTCCCAGATGGTCAGGTCAGAAATATCTGAGTGAACAACAAATGCATGTTGGTTTCATTACTAAACTCTGATCTGTTTCATTACCCATTTATTTTCCTTCCCTTTTCTGCTTGAGAGGAAAGGCTGGTTTGTAGAATAGCTATTTAAATTATTCTATGCTATCATGTCCATCTTCAGATAACGGTTGTCTTGCTTGGACCAGACAGAAGGAATTTACAGCGTAGTGCAGCTTCCTTAGTACACACAGGGTTGTTAGTCTAGGCAAATGGGATTATAGTGATTGAAGTAAAAAAGCACTCATAAAATAATCTGACAAGAGACCAATTCTGCAGACTGTCCTGATGCAGAATTCCCAGATCTTGTTTCTTTGCTAATCCAAGGCTGTATAAACTACAACAAAAAACATTGGAATTATACCACTGTGGTGCTGTGGTAAAGGAGAAGCATTGAGCCCCTATTACAATAATTTATAACATATGCACGTAGTCACAGTCCATAAACACCAGTATATAAACGTGTGTACATCCCTTCAGGATTCAAGTCTTTGTCTTGCCTTAATATGTCCCTTTTCTATTACATACTTTTCTGGACTGAAGTATCTTCTGTCTTTCCAGTGGAGTACTGTCATGCTTTTTTTCTGCCATAGATAACCTTCCTTACAGCTAGCTTTTTTTCGTTTTTTTCTTCTCTGTAGAAATGCTTTCTTGACTTCCATTCCTACTAAGACACTATTAGGAGTCATATCACTGATCATACCACTTACAGAAGGGCCAGCAAAAGTTGCCCATGTTTCCTTTTGTGACTAAAAGGAAAAAAACCCAAAACACCCACTCAGCTTTCACTGCAAACCATGGTGTTACTCACATAGTTAATCCTCACAGCCCGTATGGTTTCTGACCTTGTTTTCTTTTGTCTGCTTCCTGCTATTATTATTTTTTAAATATTAGAATTATTGGATTAGTGATGACTTTTAAGGTCATAAAAGATAGTTTTCAGTGTCTTTAGAAAGCAGTCTGTGTATTCTGAACTTTGTACAATGTCTGGTGTAATGATGCCGATGCCGCGATTCTGACAGGAGCTTGTGGACGCTATCCTATTAAAAAATTAATAATGATATGTCAGAAATTGGTCTATTAATCTTAGCTTTGTATCTTCAAAGCTTAGAGCTTTTATCAACATGCATTTTACAGTGATAAAATTACTTAAACCTTTTAAAGTTTAATCACATCTGCTTATGGTTCTGCTGAAACTAATTATGCCAGTTGCTGACATCAGTGCGTTTGCTAGTTAGACTGTAAAGCCAGTTTCATGTGCATTCTAATACTAATATATTTTAAAAATATACATTTAAGTATACATGTTAAAAGCTGATGTGACCTACAATAGTTCTTTAGGTATGTACACAATAAATAATATTTTGAAAAAAATATATTTTATGAGTGCTGGTTGTCATAGCACTTTCTGGAAGGATCACAACAACATAGTTTTTCTAGTAACAGGGGTTTTTAACAGTATAATCTTTTTTTCTTTTTTGTTTTTAAGTATTCAGTAGTTTGTGTTAGATTTGGGATTGTACTTTCTTCATTCAGCCAGGTTTTTGTATTACAGGTTTTGTTTCTTTGCTTTTTAATTAAAGTCAGTAGTGTCTCAAGAAAGGTAAATCAGGATTTAAAGCAGAGGATAAAAAGGAGTGGAGTATCATGGAGGAAGGAAAAATTTCTTAGAGTCCTCAACATGTGATAAGTATTACGAAAACTGTCTGTATAAAATATCTTCATAGTAATAGTGTTAATTTTGTTCGTTAGAAGTGAAAAGCAGTGCAGGATTAAAAAGGCTGTACTCTTTTACCTTCAGTTAAAGGAGTCAACTCTGCTAAAATCAGTAAAACACTCAGAGTGTAGTCAATTGTGGCTTTGGTCAAGATTCCTTAATTCCTTTTTAAAGCATCGAACACCAGTGAGTTAATGTAGCACTGGATCTAAAGTCACAGACTACAGACTTGATTCTAACCTGAGTTTGGAAATCACGTTTTCTTACTTGGTAAGCTTTTTCATGCATATGGAATTGTAGTCACAGTGGGTTTGGATTGCCTTATGATACCTATTGTATATATTGGTTTAGAATGAAAATTTGTGCATCTCTGTTTGGAAAAATTTTGTTCTGCTTTTTATTTGTATTTTTATGTAGTCAGATTTACAGAATTTTCAGTAGCATTAGGTTTTATAGAAATCAAGATCTAGCAGTGTGCTGACTTTTGCTTGTGTAATCGTAAATTGCTACCATGTCTTATGTATGAATATACTGTTCATGCGGCATAACTGCTTTCCAAAGTGATCTGATTACAGAGGCTATATGAAACCACTCAAATTTCTATTTGAGTAAGATTTTTGGTTTTAAGATATGGAGTTTTTTCTGTTAGCATTGCTATAAATGGCATCAAGAGTGCAGAATGCCATCACATGCTGTGCTTCTCTGTTAATACTTTTAGGAGTAGCTGATATACAGGTGTAATAGCTTACAGCATATGTCATGCAGCGTACTGGTCCTTCAATTTTCCTCACCCAGAGGGCATCACCTTAAATAGCAGCCTTTCTTTCCTAACATGTCAAGATTGAGAAACTCGTTGCATATCACAATTACAGTTTAGACACGGAATTGAATTGCTGTCCTTGAAAACAGCAGGCATCTTGTTACCTCTTAAGTAGCAAATCTTAGCATGACCTTTGGATTGAGAGAAGTGTAACCATTCTTGGCTGACGTAGCTCAACAAATAAATGTATTGTTTTGCTTGGCTCCTGAAGTTGCTGGTTGAAAATCTGTCAACCTTTGTGTCCAATCCTGACATTTTTTAATAAATATCTGTGCCTATAATAAATTGTGAACTGTAAAACTTTAGTTGTAATCTTTTCCTTATTGAAAGAAGTTACAACCTTAAGGAGTAGCAAATCAGTGATAGATTAAATTTGTTCAAAATTCAACAAAGTAAAAATGAGCCTTTTTTCCCCTTCCCTTCCCCCTTTTTTTTTTTTCTCTGAGGGGTTTATCACAGCACTATTTTCAAGGAATCTAGGAATGGTATTTAGAATGTTGAATATGACAGCAAAATACAGACTGCTTTTTCTTACAAGAAATATCCTTGTCATTTATCCATCTTTTAGTATGTGGGTGAGAATATTTCTTTTCCTCCAGTATGAAGCTAACCATCTTTAGATCAATTTCCTGCTCAGTCACAGTTTATTTAGTAGTGAAATATGTACCAGTGTCTGCTTTTCTAAGTATTTTCTAAGTAGCATATTCTTTGGTATAAGGTATTGAATCAGCTGGCTTTTATGGGTAAATAGGCATGTATTTTAGAAAAGTAGATGTGGTAAAAATAGCTTATTGTCGTATAATCCTTTATTTCTTTTCCAATTAATCACATTGGGAAATCCTCTGATGTTCACTTCTCTTAGCTTCAGAGAACTTTTAACTGTTTCATGAAGGAAACAACCGCAGTCCCCTTAGTCTTGGAACAGTAGTAAATATGTGTCTGTGAGAATTAATAATATTTGAAATCCAAAATGTACTTTCATGCTTCTGAATTTATGGGTAGATTAACGGTTGCACTTGTACTGGAAGGCAACTATGTTTGTTCTCTTCTGATAGTAAAATGGAGAGGAAAAATATTTTTTTTTTATGTGCGTGTATGTATAGATGTCAAAGGACTTCTCTAAGACCAAACAAAGAATATCAGATCTGACACTGCAAATTAAATGTCCTATGTGTGAAGCCCAGGGCATTGATTATTAGCCAAGGCTTCACCCCCTGCCATGACCCTACTTCCCAATACTTCCCTAAGCCATTATGTCATTAGTTTAAATATAAACTGAATAGATATAATTATTTTAATTTAGAGTTCTTTTTCACTCTGACATAGTTAAACATAACTGTTATTGAGGCAAAAAATCCAAAGACAGAGACACCAGAAAGGACTCTGAAAAAAATGTTTTGTTGCCAGAGGCCACATATCCTCACAGCAAATTCTCTGTGGTCAGTGAAGGAAATGAGGTACATCCTCTCCTATGGCAGATTCTGAGGGCAACTCAATGGAGATATGAAGCAAGTGCCAGAGCATGTGCAGACAAAGGCCAGCTTGCACACTGGAGGTCTCTATCAGTGCAAGGCTCTCTGGGATGCTGTCCGACAATTTAATTGTAACTTTGAATGCTGTGACATGTGAACAAGATATTGCATGTCAGCTGCTGTACAGAAACTGTTTATGAATAAGCTCTCAGCATGAATGCAAGGTAAATTAAGGTTGCAACAAAGGGTTGTAAGGTGTATAAATTAGTTTGGGACACCACAGAGTAGGAGAATAAACGTGGACAACTTGCTGAGGAGCAAAAGATGGACAGTATTGTATTAATGTGTTGTATCTTGTTTGTATAAAAATAATGATGAATGAAACGTCACTTTATCTTAGATCCTTGCAAGAGCAGTTAGGACTTTTGAACATTAATATGCAGTGCCATCTGATCAATTTTTATGGCTGAAAGCAGAAAGGTGTTTTGTCCTTGTGTGCTCAGTCACAGAAAAGCTTGATAAAGGGCCATTTTAGCACTCGTGAAATTAGAAGTTAGAAATTTTGGGTTGAACTACAACAGATGGAAAAAATGAGAGACTCTTGTTTTCAGAATAAAAGGAACATGGGTTAGGATTTAGGAAGAAGAATATAAAGTTTTTGATCTAGGACTGAGGTTGTTGAAATTGTCAGTCCATTCTTGACGTGTCTCAGACTCATTGTAATGCAATGAAATATTAACTGCTCTTACTACTATATGTAAAGTAAAGGAATGATCTCTGACTATAAAAGTGCAATGCCATCATTCTGTAACTTCACAAAAGGCTGAAAAAACAGAACAACACATAAAACATGAAATTGAAGAATCTATGTTACCTAGAGTTTCTGTGGTTTGAATTTGTGATAGTGTAATTTCAAAATCATGGCAGAAGTTTGTCATATACAGAAGAAATATTTTAAGCCTCTCCCACAGTTATAAGATCTCCCTTCTAAAAGGTGTGAATTGTTAGGACTGTTTAAATGGAGTAAGTTTTTTAAAACAACATGTTTGTTGTGCTTAAACTTCACTAATTAAAAAATGTGGTGTATTTTTAGTGTTACTACAATGATTTGGTGCTTAATTAAGCAATCTGTGCCTGTATTTTTATAGGAAAAGTATGATATTTATTGGGGAAATTCTATGTACTGGAGATATAAATATTTCAATGAGTAGAAAAAGCAAGTAAAAGATCAAATTGCTCCCCCTCAACTGAAGTAACTGTGTGTGTGGGGGGGCGTTGGGGTGCATAAAAGTTAGAAGAAAATCTAAGCACTAAACACTCTGGAAGAGTGTTTTTATCTTTGCAATTATATAATCTGATCTAATAAGTGATTATTACCTCTGCCTACAAATCTTGCCCACGTATGTCCTAATTATTTTAGAATATGAAAGATAAAGGCTGGAGTTTCTGGTTCAGGCCAATTCTTCTACTGCCATTGGTTCATTTATTCACTGTAGCTGTAAAATCAACTTATAGTAGCATAAGGGGAATTTTGATAGTGGCTGTGAGACTCCTTAACATGTAAGATTGTGTTTGGATCTTAAAGTTATATAGAGAATTAAACTGCTCATTTTTATGTTATATATGCCAATATACCTGAATGCTTATTTTGATAAGCCATTTTCTTTGCCTGTATTTATATGCAAAATGGGTAGCAATCATTTTTAACAAGGTATGTGTAAGTCAGGCCTGAACTTTTGGCTTATGGCTTCGGCATGTATTTCAGGAATTTGCGTGGTGTTATTGTGCAGGTTTTGTTTCTTAGCATAGGGAATAACAGGAATAACAATTTGCTGCTGTACATGAAATCTTGTGAAGGAGAAGGCAAGAAGAAAATACTCAGGGTATCTTGAATTGTTTTACTTTTTCTTCCTGCTTCTAAATGTTCATGTTTTTGCATTGAAGTAGCCTATAAAAAAAACCTTGGGCATAGTTTATAGGTAAGGTGACCATTACAGTCTTGCTTATGGCATCATACTTTGGGAACTGAAAACTCCTACAAGTTCCTTTGGGAACTCTGTAGACTCCCACTCTGTATAATTAAATTTCTTCAAAGGTCAAGATACTGGCTCTCATGCAGATGCTGGTGTAAGGGAAAAGAGCCCCTGTTGCCAGCTGTGGCAGAGATCAGGCATTCGTGGACTTGGCTTGGAAGCATCAGCCTGGGAATATCCAGAAATCCTTAACAACGAAGTTGCTCTCCCTGCAGGAAGAACTCTGGCAGGATGCCTGTAATGTCTTTATTGGTGACCTGGAGGATATGGCAGAGTTCACTCTAAAGTTTTCAGACTACAGCAAGCTGGGGGGGAGCACTTGGTATGTGCAGGAGCAATGCTGTGGCTCAGAGGGATCTCACCAGGCTGCAGGAGAAGGTTGACAGAGAACTCATGAAATGAGGACTCACCCCTTGTAATGATACATACTGGGGACCATCTCTGCTGAGAGGGAGATGGGGACCCTGGCAGAAAACAAGCTCAGTGTGAGGCAGCAACAAAAGCTGACTGCCTCCTGGGATGTATTAACAGGGGCATAGTCCATAGGCACATGGAAGAGATTTATCTCCCGTTACTCAGCTCTCATTAGACCGTACCTGGGATAACATTTACCTGATTTTGATCCCCCAGTAAAAAGAAGGCACATACCAGAGCAAGTCCAGCAGTACTACCCCAAGCTAGCCAGGGAGCTGGAGCACCTCACTTTGGGGGAGCCTGATAGCAGACCCGCAGTACCTAGGAGGAGGTTATGAAGAAGACCAACATGGGCTCATTCTGGGAGGGTGAGAGACAATTATTCTTGGAAGTTGGGAGGTTTTACCCTGCTAGTACGATATACATTAAGAAGCTAAATATTCTAGAGTGCAAGAGCTTATAAGACATACAGGCAGAGGAGAAATAGAGAAAGAGGATACATGAGACATTTAGTAATTGTGTAAGTGAGCAAAGGACCTGAGAACCCTGACTTATAGAAAAAGTGTGATTTTCTAGGTGGCTGCTCATGGCATTTGTCCCATATTGCAAATTCATTTTTCAGAAAAGATTTAACGTTTGCTTCCACATGTTCTTGTGCAGTTTCATGAAACCTTTTAGCATCAGCTTTTCATCAGAAATTTTAAGAATTATATTTTGTTCCTATTGATTGCTGTAGAAATGTTCATAAAGTTGAAAGAAACAGATTGCAAAAAAAGTCCTGATAATATTTTTTTTTTCTCTTAAGAATTCAGAAGGAACTTGCAGAAATTACATTAGACCCTCCTCCAAACTGTAGGTAAGTTCACCTGGATTTTACTAATTTGGAATATGGAAATGAAATATATGGAATTATGGAAACTGCATAGGGGACTGGAGTAAATTTTAGCTATTCCTTTGTGCTGATTACTTAGTAATTTTGGAATAAAAGCTGATAGATAATATGTTGCCTACATGTAAGGACATGTAGGCAACATATGACATACTTCCCAGTAACCTAAGTAATGGTAAAAATGGGTGAACTCTGTGATGCATGGATATATACCGGGCAAAAATCAAACGACCCTTCATTTGAGGCATTAAATTGATAGCATTTTGTTTGATTCTGTAAAATGTAATCTTGGTGGAGGTTGCTTGGTATGTTTGATTCCTTTTTCTTGCAATTTGTTAAAACACTGTGAATATAAAGGAGAAAAGAATATGTTATAGGCACAAACTATGATTAATTTTCTGACTGTGTTTGTGGTGATCAATTATGATGTTGGGTGGAAACTTCCTGAAATAGAGTACCTAATCATATAGACTTTCTAATAATGTCGATGTGTTTGTTTGGTTTGGTTTTGGTGGGTTTTTCTTGGTCGGGTACATTTACTTTTGGTGTGTTTAAAATTGGCTTTGCAGTGAATGATGAGGTAGACCTAGAAACCCTCGCTGTCTGGTGGCAGGGGCTGTATGCAGTTGTTTTCAGATGGCTGTCTCGGGCTTCTTATCTGTCAGCTTGACATACGGTCAGTGTTGGAGCTGGGCCAGGGCTGCACAGTGCTGCTTAAAGGAGCCCCTGCCCCTGCACTTCTTGTGGTGGGAGGTTGGGCTTGGTGGAGAAAAATAGCTTCCACCCAGTCCCGCCAACCATTTCAACTGATGTGGTTAGTAGGTTTCATTCTATTAGTGCAGGAAAAAGAAATAGCTGATTGCATGCAGCTTTTGTAATGAATCCCAGTACGTTTCAGTATCGAATTAACTAAGCAACTGGTAGTAAAAATGACAGTCAGCTTTATTGTTTTGGTCTCGCGACAAAAGTATGTGTGAGAAAATAGTCTGACAAGATTTGATGTGGTTGTGCTGGATCTCAAGATATATATAAGTTAAGTGGCTACATACTGAAGCTCTACGTAGTGAAGTAGCCTTGCAGTAATAGTGTTCAAGGAGTATTTCAGTCAATTAGGATCAACAGTTTTTTGCTAGATAAAACATTTTAATAGCTAAGCTGTTCTGTCATACTTATGACTTTGTGTGAGTCTTCAATCACATCAAAGCAGTTTCATATGGCAGGTTTTACTTCAGTGTTGATGACTGATGCCTATTAGTGGACTGATTGCTGAGATGAATATAAAACTTCAGTCTGTTGTAGAAGAATGCATGTCTTTGAACTGAGTGTAAAAGGCTTGCAGTTTTTACAGCAGTGTCATTTTTTCTAGTTTTCTGAAGCCTTCTCTTTATAACAAAGCAGTTGTTTCAGTATACAAGATAGTGTTATATTTGATTTTCTTTTGCTAGCAAGTGTAAAGTGAGCATTGGCTGTCTTAGTGGAAAGCCCTTTGGTGACTTGCAATTTAAAAAAAAAACCAAGCGAGCTGGAGATTTCCTGGGTTTGTTGAATTATTTACACTAATGATAAAATAGCAATAAAGTGCACTGCGTGATGATGTTTTGCAAAATCACAAAATTACATCTAACTTCATGTGTCTGCTGCTTTAACACAGTTCTGAAGATGCAGAATTACTTCATGTTGTGATCTTGATAGATAACCATTAGTAACTTTACTATTATCAAATATGTTTTTATAGTCAATACAGAATCACTTCATTTAGTTTTATGCTCTGTTGACATAGTCTAAACAGTGTTTTCATTTAAACTTCATCTATTTTCTATTATAGTTAAACATTACAAAATAAATACATCAGCCAGACATGATTCTTCAGATAATAATGAAGAAAGCTGAGCTATTGTACAGTATATCTTACCCTAAAGTATTGACACATTCTTTCTTGGGTTTAGTGAAATGTAGATCACTGTTATAAGACGTTATATTTTCTGTTAAAAAACCCAGCCATATTTTATAAATATAAATTCCTTACAGATGTAGGCCACTTGAAATGGTTGTGATTCCAGCTTCCCTTCACTATGTGTACTGTCTTATATATAAAGTAAACTAAGATTGGGCAATAGGAATGTGATAAATCCCCAAACTAAATGTGATAGAAGGCATGAAGAAAGCTTTATTATTCAAGAATACTGTCTTAAGTACTTACTTAGGAAGTTCTGATGGGCAGGATGTGGAGCTGTATCGGAACTTGGGTGGAACATTGCAAGTAGGTTTGCAAGACTTTCCGTTAACTACAGCAGGCCAAAGCTTCAGGTTTTTCCCATTCAGGAAAAAAAACCAAAATGGAACAGTGTCTGTAGTACATCATCCTCAACATCCCTCAATGGCATGTTGGCTACACAGTCGGTACAAGCTCCAAAGCAGTTGCAGCTTCCACTGCTGCAGCAGCTGCAGTCTTAACATTTCCCCTGCCTCATCCTCATGAAGAGAATAGACTGTATAATCTTTGTGTTTGTCTGGAAGACAAAAAAAGTCTTGCTCACAAATGTGCCTTGTAATTGGCAGATTATCACTGCTGCGACTTGCAGCATCTTTCCAAAAATGTGGAAAGCTGTGGGTTTTAGAGTTCATAAAAAAATCTGTCACTTTTGGCTTTAAAAGAAATTTGGTGTTATAAGAAACTAAGAGTTGCCTGCGTCCCTAGGTATTCATATTCTGTAGTTTGGGTACTGGGTGATGGAAAGAGTCCTCTGGACTCCACAGACTTTGGCTTCTTCCTCCGGACTGAGAATGTATAATGTTCTAAGCATAAAAAAACCAAGCTGAGGAGGGGAGTGTGGGAGTTGAGCAGTGTAATCATTGCTATTTTTGGAGGAAGGCATGTAATAAAAAAGCCTGTTATGCTTCACATTTAACAGAAAGAACTGGATAGTTTTCAGTATATGTTGTCCCATCCTTCGCCCCATTTTACTTTTTTGTTGAGCTGAATTTACTGTCAAGGAGAGTCCTGAATGCGAAGGAGGTACATTTATGTTTTAAATTTGCAGTATTGTGAAATTTCAGTTTGTGAGGAGACGATAGGCCTAAATTGTAGACATTGGCCACTCTTCTTTTTCCACCTCATTGAAATGCCAAAGCTTTATTACAAGAAATGTTGCACATACTATACCTCTGAGTAGTGCAGAGTATACCTTTTCTCTCAGGAGATAAAAACTTAATATTTAAGTATCATTTTCATATATTGCCTTGCGGAAAGCAGGGAATAGTTGGGAAATCTTGTAGCTAAAATAATGCCTTTTCAAACTTTCCCATATTTTGGACTGCCTCTTGTCCAAGACAATAGATGTCATAGAATTCAACTTCTATTGTCAGCATTGTATACTATTTCCCTTCTCACTGGCAAGAGAACAACATCTCTGTGGCAACTTATACCAATTGCTTACGTGGGAAAATAATATTTGAAAAGTATTTAATGTATTTTTAGCTTCCTTCAATGTGAACTTAACAGCTGGAAACAAGGAGAGCCAGCACAAAGTGAATAGCAGCTCTCAGTGGACACCACTTGGAGCAACTGCTCAAAATTTTTCCTGTTAAGTCACTGATATTACCTGTCTTCCCCTTCATGTTTCCTTTTGATGTTCTTTAGTGCATTTTTCGCCATTCTTCTATTTTCTGTGTATTTACTGCAATTTCCATTATGTTTTATATGTTTTATTTCTTTTTCCCTGTAGCAATATAGGTAGTGCTTGAGGCTCAGATGTATACTGTAAAGGACTGTGCAACTTAGTTGGCAAATTGACTGGTTCTCATTCCAAAACCATCAGTTTAAAACCCTGCATGTAGTCTTATCTCTTCTATTAGTTTGAAATCGTTACGTTAATTCCTTGCTTTTTAAACTATCTGCAAAATTGATAAGAACCCAAAATTGATCCTAGTATTTTGCTTGTTAAAACTAATCCCGCTGAAAATACTTAAAACACACTTCTTTTCGGGGTGATGTAGTGAAGTGGAGTGGCAAAATATTCTGTTTGGCTTAGGGAGAGTTCATTGTGCCTCGTGGATGTCTCTTGCTATTAATGACTGTATGGAGCCCAGCATTCCTGTTTAATATTGCTCTGACTGTTTTTGCTGAAATGCTGAGGCTGGATCTTCACAACCCAGAGACTATGTGAATTCTATCAATTTCAGTTATTGTTCTCAGAGTCACCTGTTTAAACTCCTACCTAGTGCTACTTAAAAGCTAAAGAGATGTCACAAGTATCAGGAGCAGAAAACAAATGTTAGCACAATATCCTGGGAAGACTGGGAGGCAGAAGGTAGTGAGCCTTGCTCTACAATGCAGAGAGAGAGAAGTTTAGGGACCTAGAGAAGCAGGTACAGCAAGTATTTGCTGTGCAATTGTGCTCAGTGATTTTGATTGTTTGAGTTAGGGATGCATCAGTCTCTTGCCACAGACACATGACTGTGATGCATGTGATGCTAATGTGTGAGCAGGATGAAAACTGGAGTAACAAATGCTTTCTTTGAATGTTTTTTCTTACAAACATTTCCAGCCTGAATCCAGGCTGCATTTCCATTCTATTATCCATGGAGTTTACCTTCTGCCTGTATAAGCTTACTTTTATAGGCTGCTGGTTCTCTATAACCTTCTAGAGAAAATGTAACACAGAACATTGTATATCATTTTGCCTACCCTCTTTAGAATTTACGGGAAATAACAAAATGTAATCAAAAAGATAAGCATACAAGTGGTTGATATTAATGTGCAGGATACTGTTGGTTTTTAATCCACGAGGTATTAACAATCGAGGGATGAATGAAAAATCTATTTGAGTGCTCACTGTAACTGCTTTGTTTTTAAATTTTGAGTCCCTTTGTGCTTCAGAAGAATCAAGAAACACGTCCCAAAAACATGCAAGTTAACAATCGCACTGGGATTATATTTTATCCCTTGAGTTAGCTTGCCTGTTTTT